TCTCAAAACAATTATAATTATTATTAATGGGTTGTTTCAATATTTCTTATAATATACACGTACTCATACAAGCTTTCATTCAGCTCTGTTTTCTTATATACTAGCGTTTATTAATAAATTATTTTACATATTTAAATAATTAATAACAATTCCTTAAACTAATACTAATACTTAATACTTATACTTACACTAAATACTAATACTAAACACCTTAATACTAAAAAATTTCATATAATCATACAATTACTATACTTTGTTCTAATAGAGTCAATGTTCCCTAAGAAACTACGTCTGTTATTTTTCATAAGATGTATACTCAAGAAATTCATAATATTCGCCTTTGGATCTTGTGGTTTCATTCCATAAAATTCATATCGTACTCGTTGTTAGTTCATTTTAGTTTTTTATAGCCATATTTTATACTGTTTAGTTGAATTAATCAAATAATGGATTGATACTGCACTTATTTCAGCCTTTGTTCGTACTCACTAACTACACTTAATTATTTTTTTCAAAAACTAATAATATTCCTATCGGATGAGGCACCAAAATACTTCTAATTAAGAGAACACTTCACTTTTTCAGCGGTTCACCATGGTTTGTGGGGACGATCCTGTAATAACAAATTTTGTTCAAATGTTTGGATGAAATAATTTTTAGTATATCTATACCTGATTCTATACCTGAGATTTGTTCGATCAAATTTGTTTTCCACATTCAATTTTGTACATACAATACTGGTACTATGCATCTTGTTTAGCAGCTTCACCATCTAGACCTATCTATCTATCTGGCTTAAAAAGTATCTAGATAATGGTGACAAAGAGATTTGTCACCATTTCCGATTAACCACACATAGTTGCAAAAGGGACAAGTTACCGTATCTAGCTTTTGTTTAAAAACTCTTCTTGGGAATAGTACCGGCACTGGATTGTCAAAATTGATGAATGGCTCCTGGACGTAGACTCGACTGCTCCTAGAACTGCATATTATACAGAATTCAAATATTTTTTTACCGAAATACTAACTCACCAGATTTCAATTTGCAGTGAGTCAATCTACGAATAAAAGCCTCAAGACAAATTAATTTTTGACTGTGGTCGGTTAATGGTAACTTAACCTATTATAATAACCTATGATTATTGACCACTACAAATGTTAAAGTCTCGGAAAGCTTTAGTTTTTCTGCCATATACGTTTTATTAGAAATGGAAATGTATCTTGTTCCCAGGACCCTGTTTAAATTCGTGTCCATTCATTTTTCTACCACGAAATAGCGAATGTTTCCATGGTTTCTCATCCGTAGATTTGGAGATGCCTAAAAAGCGAAAAATAATTAATTAATAAATTTTGTACGGATTCATGCAATTTATATATCACCTCTTCAAAATAGGTTACTAATAAATTTTGGTTAGATGTGTCTCAAATAAACATTCTTCTTAAAAAATAAATTAGTTTTAAGTTTTTATAAATTTTAATTTTGAAATGTAAAAATATTTAAAGATTGTCAGCCAATTTTAATTTAAAAAATTTTAAAACTATTTTCAAAACTGTGCTGTTCTTTCAAATCGTCTATCTGTACTATTAACACTCTATTGGGAGCAATAAGCACTACTTGGTTGAAGGAAAGGAGTAATCTGAAACATAAGCCTGACAGTATTTGGAACGACGTCAATTTAATCTAGGAAAGTTATTAAAGTGCGACCAATTTAGGATTAACAGAATCAATGATGAGTAATTATGATGGCCATAAGTTCTACATAATGGATTTTAATCATTTTATAAAAAGATTAAAGATATTCATGAAATATGTATATCTTTAGAAAATGCACCTTATTCTACTATTAAGTTCAATGAGGAGCGACTGGCCTCGTTTATTGTTTGTGAAATCGTTATGTATATTTTTATATACATTTGTTCATATTGCATAAAGAAATATATAATTAAAATATTATCTGATGGAAATACTAACCTGCTCATTTTTATTCCACGGTAGATCAATCCACGTATTAAATTCGAATTCGTTCATGGATTATTACTTTTGTCGTGGTATAAATTTTATAAGTGATCCTTCCTATAATTGCTAGGAAGTGATTTCTATGGTCTATTCAAGTTGCTTTTGATTCCTCCATTAATGGGACTATCTGTAAGTTGTACTTCCATCATTACATATAATAATATAGATGAGATATGAACAAAGTTGTCATCGATTCATTGAACCAATGCATGGTTTTTAGTAATTCCTCCTCCCGAGGTTTCATTTCTTATTCTCCTAATTAGATTTGGAGGTGCCTAAACAATAGAAAAATTAACTTATTAACAAACTTTATTTAGTTTCCTGCAAATTATAGCCCACCTCTCCAAAATAGTTTACTTAAATAATTTTGAGAAAAACTTTTTTATCATAAAATATATAATATCTGAGTATTTTAAAATTTTCTTTAGCACATAAATATTTTTAATAATTCAAGGCCTATTGCTGTCAATATAAGCTGATGACAGTTGTTAGCTGTCAAGTACTGCATGGTTATTAATCGTTACTGTGGCGAAGTAACCGATTTCCATATCAACAGATATGTTAATCGGTGTAATTTGCAACACTGACGGGACGAAGAGATAACAAATATAGAAAGAAAATAAAATCCAATTTGTTGATTTAGCGAAAATAGTGAAAACAGCGAAGGAAGTCTTAATTAAATTGTATTTTAGCCAAAATATGAACAACAATTTCTTCATTTAGTTGTAATAATTAATGTTTAAATAAAATAATAGAATATGATTGCGAACTCCAATTCGACACAAACGACATTCAATTTCAAAGTTGTTCTGCTTGGGGAAGGCTGCGTTGGGAAAACGTCGATTGTATTGCGATATGTGGAAGACAAATTCAATTCACAGCATATAAGCACCCTTCAAGCATCTTTCCTTAACAAGAAAATGACCTTGGAGGATGGCAAACGTGTACAGCTCAACATATGGGATACTGCCGGGCAGGAACGCTTCCACGCGTTAGGTCCCATCTACTACAGAGGATCACATGGTGCCATACTTGTCTATGACATAACCGATCAAGACTCCTTTCAAAAAGTCAAAAACTGGGTAAAAGAACTCAAGAGAATGCTGGGGGCTGATATTGTCATAACGATTGTTGGTAATAAAACAGACTTAGAAGCCCAGCGTACCGTTGAGCAAAGCGAAGCCATCGAGTACTCAGAGAGTGTGGGTGCACATTATTTTGAAACATCTGCCAAAGCAAACGAAGGTATCGAAGAACTCTTCTTTAGTTTAACTAAGCTTATGACACAACGACACACACAACGAGAACAAGAAAACAGTTCGGTGCGTTTGCTGCAAGGTGGCCGTCCCGCTAATATGCTGATTGTTGAAGATTCCCAAGACGGCGATGATGAGGCACCAGAAGTGCCCGAATCAAATCGTGCCTGCTGCGGCACCGGATAATTTCGAGTTTTGTATATTGAACGTTACTTTCAGTGTGGAACTGGACTGAGAGCCACAGCCCTTGGGTAGGCGCAGCTATTTTGTTTAACATACGCTGGAGATATTGTGATAAATTATTTAAATAAATTGTACATTTAATTTGTTTAACAATTAGTTTAACAATCAAATTCCTTATAAAATTTCTATTTCAAAATGGGTTGTGAAATGCAACTCATTGCTTCTGATAGCAAATAACTTAGTATAAACTTGTACGTATTCGTGATTATTTATCTGATACAAATAAAAGATAAAATTTAATCGCAATTTGAGAAGAGACTTTTTTGCGTATATAAATCATTATCAAACTAACAAAAATTGTAAGAATATTTTTACGCATTAATTATAAGAACCTTTAATAGATTAAACATTAGCTATTAATTAAGTTTAATAATATTATTATAAGTGTAAAGTATGTAGTACCAACAGACATAAACGTTTAAACAATCTCTTGATTGTTGTGAATCCGTGCTTTTGGGAAGCATAAACGCTTCAATACTGGAACCAGTTTATTAATGTAATATGTATTTCGTCACGAAGACGGATTATATTCAATTATAATAATATTGTTACTTAAGTTATTATTCATAATAATCTTAATCTTAGTCATAATAGATTAAGTATTAACTAACGATTAGGTTTAGTAAAATTTCAGTAATTATTGTTTACAACATTGTTGCTTAAGCGATATTATATTATCTATTAATAATTAATAATATATTGTCAGTATTATATTTTTAATATTGTAATTTTGTCATATTCTTAACATAATTATTAATTTTATATTATTGATATTATTTTATTACTATTATATTATTGATATTATATTATTACTATTATATTATTAACATTATACAATTATGTTATTAATATTATATTGGTATTATATTAGTAATATTATTAGTATAATTATTAATATTATATTATTAATATTTTATTATTATTACATTATTAATATTATATTATTAACATTGTATTATTAATATTATATTATTTGTATTATATTAATAATATTATGTTATTAGTATTATATTATTAATATTAAATTATTAATATTATATTATCAATATCATTTAATTAATATTATATTATTATTATATATATATAATATATATATAATAAATATTATTATAAATATATATAATAAATTATATAGTAATATATTATATTATTATATTATTAACATTTTATTATTATTATATTATTAATATTATATCATTAATATTTTATTATTTTTATATTATTAATATTATATTATTAACATTGTATTATTAATATTATATTATTTGTATTATATTAATAATTTTATATTATTAGTATTATATTATTAATATTGTATTATCAATATCATTTAATTAATATTATATTATTAATTTATATTATTAACATTATATTAGTAATATTAAATGATTGAAATTGTATTATTATTATATTATTACTATTGTATTATTTCTATTACATTATTTACTTTATTTTATTAATATTATATTATTAGTATTAGTATTATATTGTTAATATTATATTAATATTATCTTAAATCCATTTTGGAAATATATAATAGTAATTATATATATTAATATTTTTTGTACAAACTGCGAACGGAAGTGATGACCGAGTCGTGGGCATTTGCAGACCGGTCTTTACATTGTAATCGGGTCAATATTTAAACCAGTTCATTTGTATCATATGTCTTTCACCCTAGACAGTCAACGCTGAATCACTCTTGCCAATAAATGTTATTTGAGCTAAGTAGGCAATTAAGAAATAAGGCTAATTCTTACCAAACAAAAATCACAGTCTAAAAATCTTCTGCTGTTCTGCTGCTCATTTGCTGTATGATGCAGAAGCTTGAAAATAACCAAACGTGATGCGAAAGTATTAGGAGGATTCGAGGGCAAAATTCTTTGGAAGATCTATGATCCCCTACATGTTAGCAATGAGTATGGAATTTGATGTAACGACGATGTGTATGGGCTATACTGCGATATTAAGAAAATTGGAAAGAAATTTAGCGACTTTTCTGGCTTGGTGGTGTCGAGCAAAGAACGAATGAAAGAAAGTGTTCCGCTTAGAAAGATATTTGATTCAGTACCCGCTGGTAAGAAAAACTAATAGAGGATATCCGCATCTTTACTGAAAGGACCAGATGACTAACAATGTGAACGAACTTGGTACTGCCATTCTGGCGACAGCAAGTCATTGAAAGAAGTATTTCTTCAAAAGGTTGAAAAGTATACAATATTTTAGCTCGAAGATTTGTAAATCTTATTTAAGATAACGACAACTACATTTGTTAATCCCATTTTAGGACTGTATTATGCTCAATA